TAGAGAGAACCACACTTCTGAGATCATGAGAACCTCTCACCAACTTTAAGATTCAAAAGATAAACAAGAGACCACAAAAGTCAAATATTCACATATGTCTTGCCATGCAGAATTAGGTAGCTCTAGGCCAGGCTTAAAATGGAGAACTGAATAGGTGCAGTCAAAGGAAGCTTACCTGATACTGTAAAGCACTTTGCCATTTTTTGAAATCCGAAGCAATTTGTTGTCAGTGGTAACATCGTGGAAATTGGCACCCTTCTCATTGGCAAAGAACAAATCTGGTTTCCAAATGGAATCCAGCATCGATGGATCCAAGTCCAGGGAATCATCAGGGTACTCACTATATGCCAAACGTGAATCATTCCACTGTTGTCTCAGAAAAATGTTCACTCGGTAATCCTACAGAAATGCCATGGAAAGGTGTTACTTATCACCCATTCTGGCACACGAGGTCCATCTACATTTCCTCTCACTCTTCTCTCTGATTTGGTTCAGTGTTGGTGTATCCCTTGGAGTAAAGCAGGCTGTGTATACCTGGTCAAAAATAAACCACTCCATTCTATGAGGAGTGGGAACAAAGTAAAAAAAAAAAAAGCAACTCAACCAAACCAGGTAGACTTGGTTGAATTGTTTACATTTGAATTACTAATTCAGGGAGAAAATAATATAAACTCAAGCTGTTTTTGCTATAGAAAAAGGTAATGATGAGTACAGACGTCAGTCTATGATGCCAGATTGTCAAATAAAACTGATTCATTTTCCAAATCAGAAATGCTATGATCTATTTCCTCATTCTGCTCAGATGCTCTGGGCAGAAGCAAGCCCACTCTGTACTTTTGGTAGTGAAAATATTATTGTAAAACTCTTACATGATGGGGCAATATTTCTTTAACTCATCAACATAAATATTTATTAAGATGTTTCATGTTGATAGAAAATTCCCTCACAGCTACTTACTTTTGAAATTCTTAAATACTTTAGCACTTATGTGAATGGGCATCTATAGTAGTCAACTTGATGCTTCATCAAAACAGAGATCTTTTTCATGTTCTCATCTGAGCACCTTCTAACAATTGTGTTGCTCTTCGTGGGAGCCTCAGGTACACCCTGTTATTCCCACTTGGTCTGGAAATTTCTTTCTGTGCTAATGAATCGGCATGGGGCAGTGATTGCTCTTCTGGGGATTTCTACTCAAAAGTCTTGAGGTTCATGGAAACTGTTGCTTCGCTTGATAGAGTGGACCCCATATAGGTTTCAACTGTATTCCCTAGACAAGTGGGACTAAGGTTTAGAGCTAATAGTTGTCCATTCCTGCCACTTGTGCCCATTTAGGATGATATATACTCATTCCTTCTTTCCTTTACCGTTTTATTCTCATTTGCTCTATTTCCACACCTTTGGTACCTGGACTTTTGGTAATTGTTTACATCAATCTACTGGTGATGAACTTGTCCTTGTTTGACTGACAACTTCCCAGTTTTAGCCTCCAAAGTCCCATATTCAGGGAACCCACTCAGTCCCAGGCAAAATTGGGATGGTTAGTTACTCTACCAGGTCTAATGGAGGCCACCTCAGGATGGTCAGTTTTGGTTAATTACCCTCAGGGCCAAAAGAAAAAAAATGACTTAAGTTATAAAGATCAGAGTGTATGGAAAAGAGTTTCAGTTCAGTTCCTTCTACCTATTACTAAACTATTCAAATTTTCATGACTTCTGTTCAAATTCAGCCATCCTGATGATCAGGCTGATAGAGTATTTCGAAGGTGATGGTTTTTCAAATGTGTGCCCAATGTAGTTGGCCTAAAGAATGCTAATAATCAAATGGTTACTAACTTCTGAAAATCAGTCATCAAATCCCAGCTCATTTGGAAAGGCTGAAGTATTAAAAGAAATAACCTTAAGATTCTAAATTGTACAACCTAATGACTTTCTGACTTGGAAAATTTCATCAACTGACTTTTGAGATTATACCAGGCCTGCGCAGCAAATTCTCAGACCTAAGAGAGTGCTGTTTTGGGCCCATCCATACTTCCATGCCATTCTATGTGTTCACTGTGTACGTGCTCCCTCCCGCAATGATCAAACCAAAGGAATGGCAGAACCTCAGAGTTTTCCTCATCATGTATTTTGGAATTGTCCAAAGGGACCAGAAGATTGTAACTGGAAAGAGTTGACCAGGTCTGTGTTTCATTGTCAATAGGAGTTACTGGAAGCTTTGGAGTTTTGCATAAGTAAAGAATGGAAGGTGTGATTTTTGGAAATTTTTTTAAAAGGCCATTGAAAATGTAATAATCCAATATAAGTATGCACTAAATACATAAATTGTGAGATTTTTTTAAGGTTTCCTGAGGGGAAAAAATGGAGCTTCTCCAGTGTTTGATATCCACCCCTTTTATTTCCTTAGAGTGAGAACCAGTTATCCATAACAATTCCAATTGTGGAGGTAGAGAAACTCTAAATACATAATGTAATGACAGCTGGAAATAACAAGTGAATGGGTTAAATATTTTAGGGCATCATGAAGCCAAGAAGGGGTCCCCAGGAAGTAATCATAGGATACTAGCGTGCAAGAGGACATAAGAAGCCAGATAGAAAGTATGGGGAAGCAAAATCATCAAGATATGTTGCAATTCTCCCTTGAACCTGTGAATCATTTACACATGCATATTGAGAGACTCTAGAGAGAATTACATTAGTAACATGCAATATGAAAACATTGACCTTTAAAAGAATCTCAATGTAATTTTTTTACAGCGAATGTAACATCTTTTTAAAAAGTATTTTCCATAAGTATTCTCCAGTGTTTCCTGGGTGGTTGTTTTTTTTTAATTACATATATAGAGAAAATAATAAAATAGATTCTCCCTATTAGAACTTTAAAAAGATCACTGAATCTATTATGCTATAGTAGAACCATAAAATGTTTAACAGTTAATTTAAAATAAATTAATCCTCCTATTTGTAAACAAGGATAATTGGAAACTTAAAGTAGAAAATATATTTTATGCCACAATTAAAGGAATTATGTGAAATAAGTCCTTTATTAGATCTTTTAGAAGTATTTGTTCTTTATAATACACAGGAATTAAAATTTTCCACAATTTTTTATGATGACATACACTATTCCAAAATAAATAGCAACCCTTAAAACCTATTAGAATAGAAAAGGACCTAGAGAAGTAGATAGCCAAAGGAGATATTTTCTGAGGCTGTGCCTCTGTAATTTTTTCAGTTTTCTATCATTGTCAGTGTAGGGTAGACATTTGACATGTGTGCTTTATCTGTGCATCATCTCTGTTTATTTATAGATAGGTCTATTCTCTCATGACATTCCAAACTACAGGAGTTAGTTATATTGTTCTGTAGTCTTCTTTGTCTTTATTTTTCCTTCTAGGTTTAATGAAATATTAAAGGGAGGTAAATATTGAGAGACATGCCTAAATGCAGTCTGAATTTTCTTTTACACCATCACCTCTCTCCAGAGGCAGATTCTACTTCAAATAAATATTTTCTTGTATTAAAATTTATTTTCCTGTTATTGACAATCTGGATATTGGATTAGGCAATGAATATATATATATATATATATATACACACACACACACACATATATATATATACACATATATATATGTGTGTGTGTGTGTGTATAAATACATATACACATATTTTTTCAAAAGCTCTGTATAAGTCGTATAATATTTATTATATTCTTAACACAGGTAATACAAGTACCTATATTCCATACTGTTATTTCCTATTAAATTGAGAATTTCTAAAGTTTCACTTTTTCTGGTAACTTCTAATATGGTGCCAATGCCACAAAGATTGTTTCCTTAAATTGAATTATTTGTACTATTATATTTAGCCTGGCATTTGTACATAGAGGTTGCCACTCTGCCTTATACATACTCTTATTAAACCTTACCATTACTGTTTTACTATTTTATGCATATACATTTTAATCCAATTATGTTATAATGTTATCAAAGACAAAGATATGCTTTGTTGATTCCCCACAGTGCCTATGTGGCACTTTGGTTTTAACCTCTGGCTGCACAGTAATACAGTTTTCATGATCTTGATTCTATGCTAGCTTTGATATAGAAAGTATCCTTGAATTTAAAATTATGAGGAAGCAGTTACTTTATGATGAATTCAGGCTTTAACATTGTGTTGTTAATTTAGAGACTAAGCTCACCTTATATCTCAGTTTAACAAAATGCCAGGCTTGTGGAAGATTCTTAGTTCTTCTTTTAAAAATCAAAAATAAAAGATATAGTTACTTGCTATTCCTAATAAGTTACATCTCCTTATGGATTGCTTATGCAGCTATAGAATAAAGGGGAGCGGATAGTGTCATTTCAGCAGTTACAACACAGCATGTGTTCTTATAAGGAGCTGTCTACCTCTTATCCAGTTCCTCAGGAACATGATTTCAGATCAGAGATAAAACAACTCTTTACCCTGCAACAGTAATCAGCAGAGCATGTGGAATTTTTCCTCTGGGGCAGAGTTTTGGGGAGACAAGATCATATTGTGAAGATGCTCGCTGAGTGGACAAATTTTGCATACTTTCAGCTCTTGCTCCTTCCTTTCCCCAAATCTGTTCAGTGAGGAAGGTGTCTGGATCTGATGCTGTGGCATGGGTAGTGAGTGTTCCAGCACCCACAGTTCTAAAACACACTATGTCTACCCACATCCTTCCAGGCAGTCATTAGAAAGCTTTGAAGGGACTCTCTCTTTTTCCATTTTCTTTTTAAAAAAATATTTTTATTGATTTCAGAATGTAAATGATGAGAGAGAATCATTGATCGGCTACCTCCAGCACGCTTCCTACTGGGAATCCAGCCTGCAACCCGGGCATGTGCCCTGATTGGGCTCAAACCATGACCTCCTGATTCACAGGTCGACACTCAACCACTTAGCTACACTGGCTGGGCTTTTTCCATTATCTGATGGCCTATCCCTGGAGAGAGTTGCATGCAGATGTCATGCAAATCCTCCTGACCTTTACTGACATTATCAATGTTCCCAAACTATGCCTTTAAATCAGGAAAGAGGGGTTTGCAAATACACTCCCCATCCTGTAAATTCACTTGCCATCAGCAGCTAAAGAGTAGGAGGAAAGAAAAGGAAATGGTAAACTGACATTCCAAAAACCCTATATAACCTGTCTCATTATACATCCCTTACTAGGCTTTTGGAACCCACAAAAAAATTGTTCCACTGCATACTCTTAACACAATAGCAATGACCATCAACAGATCCCTGTGGCTCTCAATGAACAAAAGTATGTATTTTGGAGTAATGTATGTCATCATAATTATCCATAAAAATATTTCTTAGAATAACACAAATATGTTATCCTGTGAGCACACATCTTCAACACTAACATATCAAAGGAGTGAGTTAGAGGCCACATTCCGTCTGTAAGCAAGCCTGTGCTTTGTGGGCAGGTAGTGCTAACAATTATTTGGTATTTCATCAAACATATTATGGGATTTCATCAAACATAAAAGTGGAAGACTGGATAGCACCAAAAGAAAGTCATGTGGAGTTCTTAATCAGAAAATCATTGCCTCTTATTTAGAAACAAACAAACACCTAAACTAAATCCTACAATAATGCTATTGGGGCTGTGTGGTGAGAGTGAGGAAAATCATGTTTAAAAATTCAAGATTCTGAGGTATTCTTGTAAAAATTTATTCCAGAAAATTTAGAGAAAGCAAAACTATTACCCCTTAAACAGCACTAATCAGTGTCCTCATTGACCACATCCATTACTGTGCTCAAAAGCCAAGGGTCTGATGTTCTCACTCCAACAGAAGACAGCTCAGGGAAGAATCTGGTTCTGTTTAACATTTTTGACCAATTTGTTGAGACCAATTTCTGAAAGTGTGGGTAAAGTCATGGGTGGTAGAATCTTGGGTTTTGGTAAAGGAAGCTCAGGCACATCATGTAGATTCCCAAGCAAGGCCTTAGGGATTTGGGAAGATAAGACCCTTTGGAGGGTGGAGCAATTCACACATTCTTATGAGCACCTAAATATTTAAATATTGATGCTTTAAATTCGGGGTTGGCAATTGGCCATAGCCTGTTTTCATAAGTATTTTTTTTAGTGTGGCTACACCAATTTGCTTACTATTGTTTATGACTGCTTTCATGACAAAAGGGCAGAATTGAGTTGTGAGAGACTGCCTGGCCCTCAAAGTCTTAAATATTTATGGAATGGCCTTTTACAGAAAGAAATTTTGCCAGTCCCTTCCTTAAGTGGTACAGGGATTTATTCTTGATTTAAATATGATAGAGTTTCAAAAACATTTTTTAGCTTCACACATATTGAAGAAAATAAATGAGCTTTTTTAAAAAAAAACAAATGAAGTTTGTCATTACATTAAAAGCTAAGAAATAAAATAGAAGCTTAAAACACATCACTCTTCTGACCATGTGATTCAATATATCTCATACAGCAGAACAGACAAGCTGTTGATATCACACTTGAGCAATGATTTCCAAATTTTCTCATAGGAAACATGGCAAAGAACACCTTAATAAGTGACCAGGAAGCACCAAAGCAGCCCATTTATTAAACACCGTCAGTAGCTGATAAAGACTCTGGAAAATAAGGATCTCCACAGTTTCCATTTTCATCTCCTTAAATAGTAAGCTTTTTCTTGCATTAATGAGCATCGAAAAGGTGCACATTTGCATTTCTGATTGAGGGTAAAATGCAATGAGGAGATTTAATCAAAGCAACTTAGGAGACTAATTAATGCAATTAGCATTAGGTCGTGCAAATATTGTCATTGAATGCCATCGTGTAAAGCTGGTGACAGTGATTTGGGCTGCTGGGAGATTTATCAGGATAAAACCAAGAGGGGAGAGACAGAGACTGAATGCCAAGCTCGGAGTTTCATTATTCTTTCCAGGTTCAACTTTTATTATGTCATTTAAGAACCCTATCAACACTATTTTATTTGGATAAAATTATTTATGCACTATATTCTGTCAAGGCCCATAAGTCTCATTTCTGGACAATGCTGTGCCAGAGCAATATTACAGTGGGTAGTGGGGTTGATTATACCTAACTTTGCCAGTGGAAAGGAATGGTAAAACATAAATTATTTCTTTCTAGCATCAAGGATACTGAAAAGTACAATAATTTGTTAGACATGATCCTAGTAGCCTAAAAGAGAAAATTCATAAAAACAGGGAAACATTATTTTTTATATCTCAATGGCATTGTGCTCATTATTTCACTTCTTGAGTGTTTCTAGTATATCAGCCATCATTACTATTTGATCAAGCTCAACTATATTTTATTTTTATCTCATCCAATAATATGGTTGTATATTTTACAGTCATGAAAATTAAAACCAGCCAATTGACTTAGGGCATAAAATAAATTGTATAGGGACTAAGATAATATTTCACTCAAAAAGCAATCTCCACACTATAGCCTAGCACTGTAAGGCTACTGATCAAATAGGCTGTGACAAGGCAACACCATAACCATGACATCTATAAGGAATCTGGCAAATTTTAAAGCATCTAAAACCACTTTCATATACGTAAAACATGTTTGCATGTACATTATGATGAGCTTTAAATAGTCTTATATTTATGTTATTTTTTAAAAAAAGCTATGCATGTAATTTCTATGGACTCAGGACTACTTTCTATTGCCAACAAAATTGTGTGTATGTGTGTGTGTGTGCATGTGTGCATGCATGTGTTTATTGTAAAGTCAGCCCCTTGGCATATATCTTAAACATTGCATATATGAGGCCTGACTATGTTAAAACTTACAGTATAGGAAAAATAATGGATATAAAAATATTTCCCAAACTTTGAAATTTATTTTTCTGAAACATTGGAGATGCAAATATTTAAATATCCTTAACTATACACCATGCTTATTACTGATAAATTTACCTAAATCTAACTAAACATTAAGTGTTTCCAAAATTTCCTTGGCATGATGGATAAAAGATCATTGAATTTTAAGTAATGAACACTTGACTAATGACTTTCTAAAGTAAAAGAGTATAAATAATTACTTTCTAGAGGTGAGTGAACTTGGAAATTGGCACTCAGTAAATATCCCACAAATATACAGTGGTGCTCTTAGATCCCATATCCCATTCCTTCACACCATGGCTTCAATGTTCAGTCCCACTCACCATTGTAGTTTCTGCTACTGACCCAAAGCTGTTGATAAATATGTTGCAGGTAACATTTACAGGAGGCCCTGCAAGTTGAACAATAAATAGAAAATTTGACAGGTTGTGTTCATGGCATAATCAAGTCAAGTTTTTCTCTTGCCAGTGGCATTGTAGCACTTACCATAGTGGTTTCTGTGACTGATCCAAAACTGTTGATAAAAATATTGCAAGTAACGTTTACTGGAGGACCTGCAGAACGCAATAAGAATATTGCAATACACATTGAAGCAAAAATGCAGCTTCATCAACATCTGTGCAAATGACTAGAGATGTAAACAAAATTAAAATGATGGTGAGATTGCAAAAAAAAATGTTTACCCAGAGGTTTATAATGATAGCATTCCCACTGGTATTTTAAATAATGACAGTTAAGCAATGATAACTTACCCTGAAGAATTTTGGACTTGGAAAATACAAACTGAAGACTTAAACTGAATTCATTGTCAATGGTTGCTATCAAAATAGCCTTTTGGGTAAGTGGATTTCTTTCACCTTAGACTCAACAATGCTGTAGACATCAACAGTGAGCACCCCATGGTGATGAAATAAGCCTGGGTCATGAGTTTAAATGGAGCTGTAGTTTGAACTGTGCATAGGTCAGGGTTCACCTCCTTTCCCATGACACCCTTTAAATCAGTAGGTCTAGTTTGATTATTCTCATGCCTCTGAATTTACCCCATTTTTCTATAATCCCTTGGTACCCCCACAAAGAAAAATGACATACAGAAATACAAAATAAAATGAAGAAAATTAGCTCATTTTAAGAAAAGAAAAAAAGAGATGTCAATTGATGTCCAGATTGTTGCCTCAGCAAATACAATGTAAAAGCAACGGTTTATTAATGCTAGATGTGCTTTGAACAAAGCCTTTTTTTTTCTTTAAAGAGACAGGGACTAGCTCTCTTTTCCCTTCCCCTTTGGCTTCTATCCAAGCACTAACCTGGCCAAACTCTACTAAGCTTCAGCGATCAGATGAGATCAGGTGTGTTCAGAGAGGTATGGCCACAGACTCTTTGCTCTTTGACAATAAATAAATCATTATGATGATTTTCAGTTTAATTTTTTTGCTGGGGAATATGTTTATTGCCCTCATGTAGTTTTCCTTATGCTTTCTGAGATAAGAAACCATGAACCATCTTTGCTTTTCCTGATGGTAGTTTGTCTTCACTCAAAAAATGCTCAGCAACCTGATGTAAGCTACACCCAGTTGGCTCTCTACTCAATTAGCTGATAGGATCTGAATGAGGAGGAATTTGGCTTGAGGCCTCCTTCAAAGGCTAATAAAACACAGTGGTGGTGGCACTTGAGCACCATGCCTTTGAAGTCCATGTTGGGTTCTCAAAATGAGGAAAGGAAATGGGCTGAACAGCTAATTTAAATCCCCAGGCAAGGACCTTGGTAAAAGAAGGAGTAAGGAGTTTTGGTGAAAGAGATGTGTTAAGTTGTTTTTCTTCTTAGCATAACTAACTTTTCCGATAAAACATGTATTTCTTTAAAAAGTTTGCAGACACCACCATATTACCAAAATGTTTTAAAGCCTCCACGTCTTGTAGTTCATCCCCTTCCCCTTATTTCGGCATCTGCAAAGATGACTTCTCCACGGTCACTTCCTACTCTGCTTGATATTGTTTTTGGGTTTTGGTTACTCAAAACAAAATAAAAATGAGTCTCTTTTTGTCATAAAATTCTATTCTATAACACTATTTTTTCTGCTAATAAGAAATGAATTATACAAGGTAGAGGCAAGTCATGAGAAATTGTGTGTTTGCATTTTTGTTCTTTTTACAATAAAACCTTTTTATTTTAGATAGTCTAATTCAGGATGGAAAACTTTCATGACTTTTTATATGCAAGATATATAGAAAATGAATGATGGGGAAAGAAACAAGAAAAGAGAAATGTCATCTGAACAGGAGTATTGTCTTGTACTGTACAGTATCTGTTTGTCTGGCCTCCCCAACTGACTTGGAAACATTTAATGGGCATACATTGGTTTTTATCCTTCCCAGTAAATGGCAGTGTGAGTATATTGCTGAACTCAAAATATTTTTTTAAGCTACCATATATTGACACACTGTACTAGGCATATTAAAATTGCCGAGTTTAATCCTTACAAAAGAGGAATTGTTTTATTGCTCCAGTAAATGTTTCCAAATGTGGGAACTGGGAGTTAGAGAGGTTAAGTAACTTGCTTAAAGTCATGTCACAGTAATTAGAAAATCAGAGACTCAGCATCTCATCATTCTGAACCCCCAAACCGAAACTTTCAACCAATTTCCTTCACTGCATTCATTACACAGTATCTTCTCTCCCTTCTGACCCATCAATCATGGCATTTTCCATTGGTTTGTAACTTTCTGGGATAATTTTATTCTTTACATCTGACTTCTTCAATCTTAGGCATTGTCTCAAGGTTCATTTGCATTTAGATATAAAACCAAGAGAAAAAAGTTTTTTTATGAGGGATTAGCACATGCATATAATAAGAGTTGACACACATTAAAACCTCACTGTGTGTCAGTAGATGCCTTATTTAATTCTTCAGTAGTTAGGTGTTGCCATGCTCCCCATCTTATAGATAAAAAAAATGAGGCACAAAGGTGGTTAGTTAATTTTTTTAAGGTCACAGAGTTTGTAAGAGGCAGAAATTGCCTAACCTTAGGGAAACTTTTTTTTTAAGTACAGAAGTAAAATATCTGAGGCCAATAGAATGATCTTAATGATAGAAGCTACAAATCTTTCACCTCTTTGGTTTAATTTATTATTAGGTATTTTATTCTTGTAGATGCTATTATAAATGGAATTGTTAATCTCCTTTTTCAGATTGTTCATTGCAGCTGTGTAAAAACACAGCTGATTTTTTGTGTATTGATCTTAAATGCTGCAATTTTGCTGAATTCATTTGTTGGCTCTAGTAGTTTTCTTTTAGATTATTTGGGATTTAAAATATATAGGATCATGTCACCAGCAAATATAGTTTTACTTCTTCCTTTTAAATTTGGATGCTTTTTATTCCTTTTTCTTGTCTAATTGCTCTGTAGAAAAGTTCCAAATACAATGTTGAATAGCAGTAGTGAAACAAGATATTCCCTGTCTTGTTTCTGATCCTAAGCCAGTGATGGCGAACCTTTTGAGCTCGGCGTGTCAGCATTTTGAAAAACCCTAACTTAACTCTGGTGCCGTGTCACATATAGAAATTTTTTGATATTTGCAACCATAGTAAAACAAAGACTTATATTTTTGATATTTATTTTATATATTTAAATGCCATTTAACAAAGAAGGGAGAAAGCTTTTAGTCTTTTACCATTGAGTATGCTTTCTGTAGATGGCATAAAATCAGGTCATGTAGTTAGCTTTGAATTTTTCATAAATGCTCTTTATCATGTCGAATAAGTCTCTTTCTAGTCCTAGTTTTCTGAGTAATTTTCTTCTGTCTGTTGTGAAAGGACATTGGACTTTGTCAACTGCTTTTTCTGTATCAATTGAGATTATGTGTTTTCTTTCCTTCATTCTATTATTGTGGGGTATTACTTTGATTTTATGATATTGAACCACCTTTGCATTCCTGGGATAAATCCCAATTGGTCATGGTGTATAATTCTTTTACTAATGCTGCTGAATTTGTTTTGCTAACATTTTGTTGAGGAATTTTGCATCTATATTTATAAAAATATTGGTCTGTGATTTTCTTTTCTTCTGATGTCTTTATCTGGCTTGATATCAGAGTAATGTGGGCCTCCGAGAATGAGTTAGGAAGTATTCTATCCTCTTTTATTTATTGGAAAGGTTTGAGAAAGATGTGTGGTAATTCTCATTTAAATAAAAACATCTGGCCCTGAATGTTTCTTTGTTGTAAGATTTTTGATTACTCATTCAATCTCTTGCTCTAGGTCTGTTAAAATTTTCCACTTAAACTTCAGTCAGTTTAGGTAATTGTGTGTTTCTAGGTATTTGTACAGTTTCATCTAGGTCAGTGATGGTGAACCTATGACACGCGTGTCAGAGGTGACACGTGAACTCATTTTTTTGGTTGATTTTTCTTTGTTAAATGGCATTTAAATATATAAAATAAATATCAAAAATATAAGTCTTTGTTTTACTATGGTTGCAAATATCAAAAAATTTCTATATGTGACACGGCACCAGAGTTAAGTTAGGGTTTTTCAAAATGCTGACACGCCGAGCTCAAAAGGTTCGCCATCACTGCTGTAGGTTATCTAATTTGTTTAACATCTTCTTTATAATTATTTTTATTTCTGTAAGGTCAGTAGTAATGTCTCCAATTTAATTTCTGATTTTAGTTATTTATTAGTCTTCTCTTTTTTCTCTAGTCTAGCTAAAGATTTGTGGGGTTTTTTAAATCTTTTTTAAAAACCAACTTTTGGTTTTGTTACTTCTCTAATTGCTTTTCTATTTTTCTTTTTATTTTTCTCTACTCTAAATTTTATTACTTACTTTCTCTGAGAACTTTGGGTTTCGTTTTCACTTCTTTAAGTAGTGCCTCAAGTTGTAATATTAGGTTATTGATTTGAGATCTGTCTTCTTTTTCAATTCATGCATTTACATTTTATATTTCCCTCTGAGCACTGCATTTACTGCATCACTTAAGTTTTGGTATGTTATATCTTTGTTTTTATTCATCTCTAATTTCCCTTATAATTTCTTCTTTGACACATTGATTATTTAGGAGTACACTAATTTCCAAATATTTTTAAAAGTTATCTTTATTGTTAAAAGTATTACAGATGCCCCCATTTATTTCTCCCACTGACTCCCTCCTCCCCAGTCCCACTCAGGCTTTCACCACACTATTGTCTGTGTCCATGGATTATTTGAATTTTTTGGGTTTCCTTTTATTGTTGATTTTTAGCTTCTTTCCATTATGGTTGGAAAAAATACTTTCTATTATTTTAATTTTTAAAAATTGATGAAAACTTGTCTTATAGCCCAATATATGGTCTATCCTAGGGAACGTTTCACGTGCTTGAGAAGAATGTATATTCTGCTGTCATTGCGCAGAACATT